AAACAGTGTAATAGCTCTACTCACAGTAAAATATTATACAACTGTTTTCTTGTACCATAGTCCAATTACCCATGAATTTATTTAAATTGTATCCTAAAATAACAATGCATCAAACTTTAATCTAGATGAACCTTAATCTAAAAATAATTAAATAAGATACACTATGTAATTTTCTGTTGGAGGGACCACAGTTGGCTTGTGTTCATGGAGATATCTTTGCTTGGCCTTGAAAGTTCCACAGTATGGCATTAAACTTGTCCACATCCATGGAGAAAAGCAGATGATGCTTCCACGCAAAGTTACAGGTTAGATCTAGGGAGAACCAACCCCGCTCACTGAAAAAACACATGGTTTTCAGTATATTTTTGAACACAAACACACCCATCATTGTATAAATGCAAGATACATAAGGCTGATGCTGTACTTTGCAACATTCTGGACTATCTATCAAAAAAGTTACACAGTGCGCCTTTATCAAAGTGTTTACTTGGTTAAAGGTGCACTGTGTAACTTTCTCAGTTAAGCTTGGAATAATGTTTTCCACCTAATTACTATAATCATTGTCTGTATCTGCAAAGACTAAACAATCAAACCAAAACTACAGTCTCTAAAATCTCATGTATTTTCCACCTCACCTCTTCTTGTGTGTTGTCAAATTGCCTGAATAACTTGTTCTTTGCACTCAAACTGCTACCTCTCACCTCAGCTGTTATGTGCGGTGTCATGTGAGCTTCCTGTCTACTACATCTGCTCTTCTCAAGCCTTTATGAGACTACAGTGAGTGAATATCTCAGTGATGCATTGTCTAAACTTGAACTCCGGTGAGGGGAGGGGAAGTGGGGTGTGGGGTCATGGGGGTCGTTGGATGCAGACCCTCCCTATGTGCGCTTCAAAAGATCTACAGCATCAGTGGTCCGGCCCGAGGAGGCAGAGCAGCTGGGATGAAGCAAAACAAAGATGATATAAGGACAATGGTCAACAATGATAAACCACAGCCTGTACTACAGAGGCACTACAAATCTGTAATCAAGTATAAATAATACTGGAAAGAAATAGGGCTGCAAGATATGAGAAAAACATGATGATACCAAAATGTTAGATTAAAAAAAGTCTGGTTGTTTTCATTTTAACTGGCTTATAAGAAAGAAATTATGCTATATTCAATAACTGTAACTTAAAATCATTAATAATTTTCTTTTTACATTTACCTGTACTGTACATTTTTATCAGAAGGAGAAATTATTGTTGAGATATAGTTATCTTCTTGAAATAACCATGCCAATATTGCAGGATTTTTGTGATATATTGCACCACTGTAGAATGACTTAAGATTTTAAAAGTAAGTTTTTGTTATTTCAATAACTTAAGTTACTTACAACAAATGCTTTAAATGCATTCCTTTCAGAGTTTGCATGTGGAACCGGCAGGATTTTACACTAGTTAGATTTACTGTTATAGCTATGAGGCAGAGTGTAAAATTTAATACGCAAAAGTACATATTTTTTTACACATGCAAAAATAACTATGGGAAATGTTTCTCTATTCAGCCCTCTCTCCTGTATAGGTAGCTTCACAAAAACACTGAAAATTTATGGAGTTCTGTAATACAAACGGAAATATAAACGCTGATCTCTTGAACCCTGTCACAAGAAAAGATCTGGCTTTTGTCTCGGCAGCCATTTTGGGGAAGTCGTGGGAGCGAATTTCAAGGACTGCAATCTGTAAAAGAAGTCAAATGTTTCTGCCTAAGGAGACGAGGTGAAGCAGTGTGGAGCTGTACAGGAAATGTCCAACTTACAAAGTATGTATTAGAATATATGGCCCTGTGACTTATGGGGTTTTACTTTGCTTACATTTACTGCCTAAACAATATGATATTGTAACGTTTTGCTTATTTAAGAAAGGTAAAAAAAAAAAAAAAAATGCAAAAGTCTGCAAAAAGAAAATTACTATGTCACAAAGACATAAGGACTCAGATACTCCAAACCAAATTATGAAATGCCTGTGATTCTACATTCCACAGAAATAAGCTATTTAAGTCACTATTGAAACATTAATATACTATAAACAGACAGAAACATATTTTTTTCTTGACTATTCACAAGTTGGAGTTGGGCATATTTAAGAGTTTTAGATGTCAATTTTCCAGTTTCAAATTACATAATTACAAAAATCTAGATTGTTTGTGTATAATGACTCTCAAATTTATGAAGAGTGCGGTCATACTTTTTTTATTATTTTATTGTGTCCGGTTATGTATTTTAGCGTGTGAGTGTGAGTGTGTGTGTGTGTGTGTCTGTGTGTGCATGTTTGTGTGTATGTGAGTGTGTGTTTGGTTGTTTGACTATGTGGGGTTGGGGGTGCGGGGGTTGGGTTGGTGGGTGGGTGGTTGGGTGGTTGGAAATGCGGGACTGTTTTTAATCACTGTAAAGCACTTTGTGTTGCATTTTGTATGAAAAGTGCTTTATAAATAAAGTTTGATTTGATTTGATTTGATACTTAATGTTCTGGAGCCCTCTGCAATCTGAATGCAGGAATATATAAGTGTATATTTTATGAAATCTGAAGTTTGGAGCAGCAACATTGATAGAAAATGATGAAGGACAAGTTGATTCTGTTCAAATTCCCAGATAGAACTGGCAGGTCTAGTTTCCAAGTGTGTCTCAGAGTCTGTACTGTCTTTTTGGCCTGTGTGTGTAAATCTGGCTTCATAGTGTGTTTGTGTCATAAACAATGTGAACAAGCCTCTGAAGTGAAACTCAGTCATACCAAAACAAAGAAGTTGACTCAGTCATTATATATATTCAAATCTTATCTTTAAGTACAATGTGCTTTAAAATAAAATCACATTTAATTACAGACATCTAAGCCTTAGTTAATCCCCTCAGAGTCTTCTTTTGGTGAAGTGCATTACTGCCAAAAATCAGTAAGTGGCCCCACCACACCCCCTGATGTGACCCATGGCCAGTTAGCCACGGTCCAGTCTGCTTATGGTGGGAGGCCTCTCTGTTCCACCTCCATCTGTGTCCTTGAATTAAACATTAGATCAGCAGACGGACGCCCAGCCTGTTCTCCTAAAAAGATGAACAACTGAAGCCAATTAACCCCAATGTATGCAAGGCTGTTCTTTCCGAGCCTATTAAGAGTGGATCAAACTGTTCAATTAGACTTGGCATCAGGCAGAAACAAAGCTATTAGCATAAACTCCTGATTACAAATGTGCACTTTTGCCCTCAATAGTGATTTAGTGGTGTGAGATGGAGTAAGCTGTTTAGAGAACTGAAATGCTGCATAAGCCTCAGACACATGTCGCAATATGTCACTATTTAGTCATATACTTCTTTCCTGTTAACTGAAAACCCAACTGCTTCAAGATTAAGTTTCGGTTGTCATGATCCGGACATCACCAAATCAAATTTTGAAGCACAGTATTGTTACAGAAATATACTGCGATAAACAATAATACTGAAACTACTTTAGGTCACTGATACAATAATGATAATGCAAGATAATTCTTGAAAACAATTTTTAAATAGTCAGTATCATAAAGGTCAGAGCTGCAACAAATACATGAGTATTTGAATACAGAATGAAGCAATAATTAGCCACAGAAATTACTTATTGAAATCTCTACAGCTCAGATCTTAGTATTACAACAAAAGTACCTCAAATCTCCAGACTGTTGCAAAGAAACTGTACACACTGATACTGACGACTGTTCTAGTTTCCATATAGTGAACGATAAATCGATATAGTAATTATCGTGACAGACCTAATATAGAATTCAAATAAATAAATAAATATGTATATGCCACCAGGCCAAGTTACAGATCAGATCAGTAGCGGAAAGATGCTCACAGTATGCATGTTTTCAAGGTATTTATTTTTATTTTTAGTTTTAGTTTTAGGTTTTAGGTATTTATTAGCAATTAAAACACCTACACGGTGGACCTTTAAACATCATATTCACATATTCACAGTTTTTCTGACTTTATAATGTATATGTCATAACATATTTTTATATCTGGATTGGTATTGGATTTAAAATGAAGGCTAAAATCTGCACTGTTGTTGGCGTTTGCTTTCTGTTACAAATACTGCAGAGACCAAACCATAAAAGTAACTTCTTTGACATTCAACATCTGTAATATTAAACAGATTTAAATAACATTCCTGCGCTTCACTTTGTTCCTCCGCATGCATAACTGTTACAACAGCACTCACAGACACCCAGGGCTATTCTTGAAAACTATACACCAAGTGCAACCAGCAATTCATAGCACAGATGTTAATGCTTCTCTGAATAGTGCACATTTTACATTAATGTCTTACCTCTAGGCTTGAAATCTATGCAATGCTGGTAAATGGAGCAGATGTGTATTTTGTGGAGTTATGGGAAGTTTGTGATTCACAGCTAATCGTAAAGTAGAAAGTAAGGTTGTTTTAGTGTAGTGTAATTATGGGTACTGCAAAGGGCAATGCATTGAACAGAATGACGAGGACTAGGATTGCTTAAGTTTCATCATCTGCAATAAAAGACTTTGAAGTGTGGTTTCAATTTAAATCTGACTAATCCAAAAACATGCGAATGCTGCTGGGTGGTACTTCAACTCAACTTGTTACTGCAATTTTAGGTAAGAGAAAATTGTTGTCTATGGTTATTTGGGTGCTGGGTATCAGAAGCATTGGAGCATTTTTTTAAAACAAATTTTTCATAGCATTGTGCTTACTTAAATTAATTAAGTGTAAGGGAAAGGTTGTTAAGACTATCTTTGATGTAATACCCTAAAACATATTTTCTCCTTTTTGGTTTCAGTTTTATGTTAGCTTTCTGTATTCTGTAACAATTATTATATTTTTACACCATAAATTATAAAGCATTTTCATAAATCAACATGTCTCTGCAGATATTAGCATTGGACTGTTCATCAGGATTGTGTTAAAATGTTTCCCCATTTTAGCCTAATTTCACGTTTAAATAATTATTAACTGTTTTTGTGACAACATCATGTGAGTCTATATTCATAATGCTATTTTGCAAATCTTTATAGGCAGTGAGAAGTGAAACAGCGCTGTTGATCAATTGTATTTCCTTCCCTATGAATACCCACTTCCCCCAAAGCTTAGATTTCTTACTTAGACTACAAACAGTGAACTATGCAACAACAGCTTTTGTGACAGAACTTACCATGGCTCATTTTATCATCTTGGTTATTTTGCCTGCTTTTTTGGAAATCTCCACCGCAAGAAGAGATACCTGTGATCTACTTGCTGCCGTTGGAATACGCCTGACTATTTGTCCATTTGTCTATGAGAAGCTTACCAACACTGAAAAGCTGGTATGGATGCACAATCACACTGTTATTTACCAAAGGGACAAAGGGAAAGTGTCTGTAGGCAGACCAGAAGACATCACCTCCAGCGGATCTCTGGTGTTGACCAACCCAAAGCTCACAAGTGCAGGAGTCTACCAAGCTCAAGTCTACAACATGACTGGTGCTCTGATGAAATCATGGAGTAGTTTTCTATGTGTGATGGAAAAAGTACCCAAGCCTAAACTAACTTACAGCTGTGACAAGAAATCTGCTATGTTCAATTGTGACACAGTCAAAAGTCAAGATTTGCGCTATGCCTGGACAATGGATGGCAAGATCTTAATGGGAGAGACAAAATCGATGCTTACGATACCTTTGAGCAAACTTAAATCAAAGAACAGTTTTACTTGTAGTGTGTCCAACCAGGTCAGTAATGAGATAAGTGACAATGTGATTCCTATCTGTCCACCTTCATCACAGAATCTGCTGTGTTTTCCACATAAAACTGTCATAGCAGTGCTTGCAGGAGCAGCAGGTATTGTCATTGTTTTGATAATCGTTATCATTGCATTGTGTTGCAATCAGCGACGCAACAAAACGCCCAAACGCAGGGAGAAAGAGGAGCCCAGAATGCTGTCTTTAACCAGAAGAGAGGTAGAAGCGGATTATGAAACGATGCATGTGCCACAAAGTTCTCAACAACCAAGTCCAAATCCTTCTCCAAGAGCAGAGCACAGTGAACCCAAACATGAAGCTGAAGCTGGATGTGATTCTCTGCAGCCAGCTGCCCCAAAGCAGGGATATGACCCCTCACCTGTGCCTAAACCAAGGACCAAAAGACCCAAAACACCAGACATCTGAGCAATACATGGAAACTGGGTCAGCTCTATGTTCTCCGGGAAACATAAGTACTTTTTGATGATGGGCGTACCTATGTAGTGTATGTTTCAAATAGGTTATGGTTAGTGTTAGTTGTAAAAAGGTAGTGTGGCTGTGCAAACATAGCATTTTAGTAGCAAACAAAAAAATATATCCACTGTGATTTGGAAATATGATTTGACATGTTTGACACAGTTTGCCTTTTGTTATATATATGTGAATGTCGTTTAAGTTTAAGATGCAAATGTAATTTTATTTTCTAAAGAAAACTTTTTTGTGAAATGAGACCAATTTACAATCTAGCCTTAAAATTACTCTCTGTTCTAAAATATTTAGTAACAAAAGTTTGTTGCCTATCTTGAGTTGAGTGCCTTATATTTGTTCTATTAAAAAGATTTAACTGTAAAAATGGAACCTGTGATGTGAGTCTAAATGTGCAGTGTTTTTATCTTGTTGAAATATTTTCATGAAAATTATAAACAGCACCATATGGATGTCACATTCCAAGCCGGGATACATGTCAGCATTCCTATGTTAAAATGTGCACGCTTGCAAGAACTTTAAATGGGGAGAATGAATGGAGGACTAGATTAGCCAAGACAAATATCCATTATCTGTGATGGTGACTGGTAATCCACACATGAAAGTGTTTGCAGTTCAGACTAATACTGTGTGACAGTCACATAATGGGGTCCCCCTGAATGCCGTCGACTAAAACTTACAAACCAATGTCATCTTTTGTGTGCACTGCTCTTGTACACGACTCAGATCTGCTCTGGCCGATTTAAAGAGGAGCTGCTCTCAGCTGCAGCTGGGACAATGCTATTCTTGTCCTCTCTCCAAACGCAGGGTCTTGGCTGGCAACGCGCCACGTCACATCCTCAGAGCCTCACACACGCCTAGGATTTGAAGTGCACTGTACAACAGCACATACACACTTTAGGAAACACAGAAACATCGCCTGACTGCCCTGGAAGTGGAGAGGAAATAGTTGAGAAATCTGTTTAATAAGTGCCCTTTGGAGCCTTTAATAATGCAGGCTTTTGATGTTAAACAACGGACAATTACTTATGGAAACCACAGTTTTTCAGCTTATGTCGGACACGCAATACCAAATACAAGGAAATATAAATTACTTGTTCATCTGATTTGTTTAAACCGCAGACATGTTAATGGCTTGTTAAAGCTTTTATTCTTTCTAAGCCAAAAGAGCTGGTGGACTTTGGCGCCACTGAGAGAAATAATTTAAGTGTATTTTTTGTGTGTGTGGATAAATAAAAGGTCTTGGAAAAGCTTTTATCAAAGACACAGTGAATTCCAATTAAAAGTGATGCTTCCCCAGCTGACATATGGCAAAAGCGAAAATAAATAGTCAATGTATTAAGTTAAAATATGCATAGCATAGCATAAGGACTAGAACTTTAAGGAGTCAAAGTTAAAATGTAGAATGCTGCTTACTTACTAATGGACATTTCATATTCAGAGCAAGGTGCTAAATCCTAATCATGGAAACAAATATTTTCCAATACAAAATGTCTTAATACTAAAATAGAGACTATGCTTTTTGAAGTATATCATACCAAATAATTAAGTGTCAGCAAAAGTGCTGCCTCCCATTATAATATCCTGGCCCATCAGCTGAAGGATCTCAGTTCTTATCTCATTCTGGCTCACTGACAAACAGGGATGAGTCTAAACAAACATTCTTGCTGAATCAGCTGTAGACACAAAGAGCAGATAAACTTCGGTCAACAAACCCAAAACCCTGCAGAGGGCCTATCATTTGACTACACACTCACCTGTATAATGATACTTCTTGAGTGTGCCAAATTCCCCATGCATGCCCTTACACCTGTTATAAATCAGATGGGTGAATTCCACTTCACGCTGTAATAACCATCTTGTGTGCACCACTTCAAACATGCCTGTAATATTTGTGTGTATGACTGACTGCCAACACAAAATTACATCCTGGTTTATGATTTTACACAATGCAGGCTTTGGCTTTCAAATGCAGGGAAAATAATAATAATAAGTCCTTTTGAAGAAGGGCCAGAGGAGATAATGGGTAATGTTTGAAGCTTTTGTTTGGACCTATTTCTGTTTATGAGCTTTTATGTCAGTTTTCAGGGAGAAGTGCGACTGAGATTAGTTTTGCTTTGACTTTCGGCAGGCTCTATCTGACCAAGTATTAAAGCTACAGTAGGTAAATTTTCTGTTCAAGAGCACCTGTTACTACTATGGAGACAAGGAACAGGCCAAGTCTCCTTACCCACCTCTTGTATAAGGTCAAGATATATTTGGTATTACTATATTTCCATATTTTATTTTTATTTGTATAATTATGTCTTATGCCAGTCTCTTGCTATTTTTGCTACTTAATTTGAATTCATTACTACCATTTATATTTTTGCTCTTTGTTATTTTAATATATTGTGATGCTTGAGCTACTGTGTGCAAATAGTTTCCCGTGTGGCTCAATAAAGTTAGTCGAAGTCTAAATTACATGTCAGATCTGTAGATAGATGAATCTACTCACAGTTAGAATGGATGCTTTTGTATGTATTATTGAGCAATTAAAACATTTGTAGTTGAATAAATGCAAAATACCATACTGTGGAACATTCCAAGCAACGCAATAACATCTCTGTGGAGACAAGCAGTTAGCGGTTAACTATTTGGACAGGATATGTAAGTGTAAAAGCAAGTGAAGAGTGGGGAGAGACAAACTACAGCAAACTACCTAAACTGAGAATCAAACTTATGTGTTGTGTGATTTTTTTCATCTGTTCTAGTTATCTTTTTTTATTCTCCATGTGGGCCCCTTACAAAGTCCTTTATCACTAAAATAGATTTAAAAGTGTAACAAAGTTATTACAGTAATGACAGTGTGTTTGATTGACTTTAACTGGGACAGTTTAAATACAATTACATAACAGGGATGAGTATTATAAGTTGGCTTCAAGTGTATTTTTAGCTTTGTGTGCCGTCAGAAGAGTTTAAAAATATAACAGCCAAATCAATGATAAAAAAGGAAAAAGGACACCGTTACAAAAATAGATATCAGAAGTTGTAGCATGTGAGGTATAAAGAATAACCCGTGGTAAAAGACGTAATAAATGTATCTGATGTAATGTATTTGCATATGTGAAACATGTTTAATTAGATCTAGGATTGTGCAATTAATGAATTAAGGTCCAATTGTTTCAAATCATCAAAGAAATGCTTTTTGGAGAGCTTTTTAATAGAGAGGTCTACAGCCAAACACCAGTCAGCAAAAGCATGCTGTTTGGACCAGAGTTCAGACTTTGGGGAACTCTGATGTATACTTTCTGTATAAACTGTATTGTTTATGTTCATGAAATTTAGATTGAAAGCCATATTTACTTTAATTATATATGCTATCTCAACCTGTGATATGAAAATAAAATACATTTACTTGATTTACTCAGTGATGACAATATAAAACAAAACAGAAAAGAAATGATTGCCAAAAGTGCACTTGTGATACTGTGGCTTTCTAATTGGGATCTGTGTCTGTCAAGTTTTCAGGGCTGATTTATCAAAGTCATGCATGCTCCTTATGTCGACTGGCGCACAATCTGGTCACAGTGGTCCTGCTGAGATCACCATATGGAGTGCTAAAAATGAAACACAAAATCCATGGTGTCAATCTTGATCCTCCTGTTGGGCACTTTATACCTGATGCCCCATTCAAAAACATGTTCTTGCTTCAATGAGAACAATGGGGCAATAAAATAACTGCATAAATTATTGGTTGTTTTGGAACATCCACTTGTAAAACATGGAAACGAATTCTTTCAGTCAGAAGCAATACAGATGGATTTTCCTAAAGACACTTGATATAGAGAGCAAACAATACACATAAATGAATACATTTCAAAGTTTATCACTCTAATACAATAATTTACTCCGTAGCTACATAAGTAGTTAAACAAAATTTTCAACATACTTGATACTCACGATGGATTCCACTGTCACAATGATAATCCTCTTTTTAGAAAGTAGGATGCAACTTTCAACACAAAATAATTGCACTTTTTAAAATATAACTACAAGGTTATATACTCATTCTAATACAGATCAAGGCCATTTAAAATTATTCATGAAAAGTCAGATTTCTACTATAGATACCTGCCCGTATGCTTTTAGTGTCATTTAGTGATATCTTTATTTATTTATTTTTTGACAATTTGACCCTTATTAAGCCATTTGTCAACTTTGAAACACGGTATATCTTGTGTTTTAAATCTGGACAGAAGCAAGATCAGTTATATTCTTACAAGAATCTTACAAAATCTAATCTTTCTAAAATTTTCACAAACTGTATTAGCTCAAAAGATGCACCCTGTCATGTTTTCTTTCTTTCTACCTCATCCATCTCTCCCTATTTACTTCTCCCCCTCTCTCCCTGTGCTGAATAAGACCTAATAAAGAACATTGTTGGAGTATAATAAATCTCTCCACTACAGCAGCCTGTCCAGTCAGTGCATTCTTCCAGGAGATAGCATCAGTGTAATGTCTCATTGGTACAAGCTGTTATTAGCCCTGAGAAAAGGCTGCGATTCAGAGTGACGGATGAGACTTAACCCTGTCACATAGAGCCTGTGGACCAGAGCATAATGAGACACCCATCACCTCTGCATGTTCCATCAGCACTGTCCACCACCATCTGATTTATACTCTGCCACTGACTGCGTTCTGCTGTCTTGCAATGATGATGCAATGAGATTGATACGTTACAGTACAGGGTCCATGAAGCACCCTTAAGGCCAGATAAAGTACCATTTAATGAACAAGTCAAATTGAGTAACGTAAAAGTTACAAGAATACACCAATCCAATACTGGTATTAGATATTGCCACAGATAATGGAACAAATATCGGTTCAGCCAATATCCTGGTTGAACAATGTAATCAATGTAATTAGATTATGTACTTGTCATAGTCGGTCCAGAAAATCTCATAATGTTTGAATTTGTATTTACACAAAGTTGTTCTGTTGTTACTTATAGCGATAAATAAATCATTTAGATCAGTTCTGTCTTATTTTATTTTTGTTGAAAGGAATTTTCAGTCTGCACTAGCTCATATTGGGTGTCAGCACATATTTAAAGCTATAATACAAGTCAGTATTAGTGCTAAAAAAGCTCAAATCGGTGTAAAGGTGCACTATTTTGCTTTCCTAGAAGCAGGTATGCCACCTGCTTGCCGCCATGAAGATTTTACAGCTTTGTCAAGAATGTTCCACAGTATGGCATTAAACTTAAGTTTTTCTGAGAAGACCAACAGGTGGTGTCACCAGGCAAAATTACAGTTCAAATCTGTGGAAAAACAAGCCTGCTCATAGTTAGAGTGCATTTT